CACACACACACACACACACACACACACCCATCTCACTAAAAACAGGACATGGAAAGATAAACACAAAATCTCTTCCTTGTGCCTCCACATGCAAACTCGGGTACAACTACGTTGTCACATGCAGTCACATTAGCTGACAGCTGCACCAAGGGACAATCACCAGAGTCCAACACAGACACACTAACATTCCAGCGGTCTCCCGGGTACTTTAGCTCCTACACCACCCTGTTCCGCCCCCTCCTGGCGAGACTACAGCGTCTACACCGCCTGCCCCACCAGGCCTCACCTTCCGCGGCCGCCACCGCCAGCGCCCTCGCCCCGGCCTCTAAGCCCTCCCGCCTCGGGTCCGCTGACGGGGTGGCTCCTCCCAGGCGCCAATGGAAGGGGAGAGGTGAAACAGGGGGGCCTCCCGACCCATTGGAGCCTCCAACTGCCAATCACTCCCATCCCACCCCTGCCGGACACTTCCTGTCCCTTCGGGGCTAAAGAACAGAGACAGGAGAGTCTTATTAAAGAACTGGACCGCCAGACCTGGCCCCTGGGACAACAGGACTGGAAATGCTCAGGTCCTTTCCCCTCCCATCTGTCTGTAAACAAAGCCTCAAGTTCAGGGCTCAGGCGCCAGTGGGCAGGTGACTGGAGAAGTTCAGGGTGGCCCTGACCCAGGAAAGAGGAGAGCTGGTTTAGAACAGTGTTTCTTAAACTTTGCACGTATTGTGGTTATAGAACTACCAAGCCCCTCCTGTACCAGTTAAATCAGAATCTCTGGAGGTTGGACCTATACTCTAGTATTGTTTAAAACTACCCAGATGATTCCAAAATGCAGCCAAAGCAGAACTGTAAAGCCAGGGGCATGTTTGTATGTTCCTGAAGAAACCAGCCTCCCAAGGACTTCCATCCACCCCATGGGTAGGCCCAGGAAGGCTCAAAAGTGATGGATACTGTATCTGATCTCCTTCCTTATCAGGGCAACACTCCCAAGTCCCAGGCACTTTAACTCTCAAGGAAAAAAAGACTTTGGACTGGAATGTAGGAAGACAGTCAAGGTTCTTCAGCCAAGTTGGTACTGTCCAACCTTGGTATGCTTTTCTCAGCAAGACCTTGTTTCCTTGGAAAAAGAACCATAAGCAAGATGATAACCTTTTGTTCCCCAACTGTTACAGAGGGGAGGGAGTAGACACAAGGTCATGCTGAACACATATCTTCTAGGCCCTGAGGCTCTTCTAGGTTTCGCAGTTCCCTTCCTGCCCTGTGCAGTGACTGGAGTACTGGGGCAAAAGGTATACTAGGGCCACACATACTGCATATGGGAGTGTGGAGAAGCCAAAGACACAAAGCCACCTACACGCGCCCTACTCACCCCTTCAGCCCCTGTGGGCTGAAGCAGAGCCAAGTAGCAGCCACTTACAAAGCCAGGGTCTGGCCAGCAGCCCAGGGTCTAGCCACTGACCACTGGGACCAACATCCACAGGCCTGGGGTGAGTGAGCTGACACTGGGCTTGGTAGTGAAGGGGACTTTGACCTTCCCAAAGCCTCAGAAACAGCTAAGAATGCAAACAAAGTTTTGTAAACTAGGAAGTTATGCATGCTATGGGTAAGAGAATCCATAGGCCAGATGCAATACTAATTAGTTTTGTGCAAAGAATATGGGGTAGAATATTTGAATCAAGGTTTTGCACATCTATAGGTAAATTACAGCTAGAGCTGTGAGCTGTGTTTTGTTTTGTTTTGTGGCATTAGGGATTGAACTCAGGGCCTTGCACTAAGCCACATCCCCAGCCATTTTCATTTTTTATTTTGAGACAATCCCTACATTTCCCAGGCTGAGCTCAAGCTTGCAGTCCTGCTTCACCCTCTCAGAATGCTGAAATTTCAGTTATTCACCACTTACCCGGCTGTTGTCCCTACATCCTGGGGGGGGGGGGATGTTGGTACTGGTGGTATGTGTTTTTTGTTTGTTTGTTTCTTTCTTTTTAATTTTTTAAAGACAATTTTCTGGGGAAGGGGAGGGGGAGATGGCTCAGTGGAATAAGGGCTTCCCTGGCAAGCGCAAGGGCCTGAGTTCAATCCCCAGTTCCGCAAAAAAAAAAAAAAAAAAAAAAAAAAAAGACAATTTTCTCTATATAGTTCAGGCTTATCTTGAACTTACTGTGGAGCCAGGGCTAGCCCTAGACCTCACCCTGATCTTTCTGCCCTAGGCTCACAAGTGCTGGGATTATCGGTGTGCACCAACATGCCCGGGCCTTGGTTTTTAGTTCATATTCCTCTACTATCAGAAATATGTAATAAAGTTTTAACTTAATTTTATTGATTCTACATCTGCCCAAACTCCAGGCCTCAATCTCTTCTGGCAGAAGGACTCAAAGCCCTGGGGTCAGGCAATGGCTGTTGTCTCCCTGTCCTTCTGCCCCAGGCAGTAGTGTACCTCAGGAAGTGCCCTTAGCCTCTCTGCAGCCTGGAAAGGAAACAAAGGACAATAAAAGTAAGGGTCACAGAGAATGGTAGTATGAAGTTCTGAGCACCAGGAGATACTAGGGGAGACTTAAGGAATGGGGACACAAGGACTGCTGGAGCTACTAAAGCATGGGGTATAGCAGCTCCTGGTTCCTAGAAATGCCCAAGTTTTTATGAGGATTCTTGGGGTAATAACTGTTGGGATCCTTTGAGGAAGTGGGAAAGAAAACAGGACCTGGGGGCCCAGGATGCTCTGAGCCCTGACCTGCTCAGGGGTGAGGTCCCTCTGGGCCTGAGCCAGCATTTCATAGCCAACCATGAATTTCCGGACAGTAGCAGAGCGCAGAAGTGGAGGGTAATAATGAGCATGCAGCTGCCAGTGGTCCCAGTTGGCCCCAGCCTCTGATCCTGTGGGAGCACCTGACAAGAAAAAAAGGCAGGGAAGGTGGGGAAGGCTCTTAGTTCTTTGGTCCACACCTTACCCACAGCTAGGCCACATACATGAAAACTACATTTCCCAGCATTCTCTACCAGAAAGCCGAGACATCAGAAAGCACCCTAGTGAGTTTCACCAAGTTTGCTGTATTCTACCCCACCCCATTTCTAGCATCCCTGCCCCAGGCATTTCCCCAGCAGTGCCTGCTAGAAGTTGTGGTCTGCTGTGCTAGGACCTAGGAGCTCAGAAATGGTGTTGGGGCTAGATACAGATACATGAATGCCTCACCATGCCAGCCCATGGAGTAGGGAAAAGATGTCTCAAATAGGTTGTCATACTTGGTCAAGAGCTTCTTCATGATGGAGGCTAGATCTGGAATCAGAGCCTGACTCTCAGCCTGGGAACCAGACACTGGCCCTACCAGAGCCATCTAATCCGGTGCACAGACCCAAGGTCCTAGCTGGGAGACTCACCATCACGCTCAGCAGGGGTCAGCTCTGGCAGCCGCCGCACATGTCGACGGGGTAGCAGCAGTGTTTGGAAGGGCCACACTGCCCAGAAGGGGACCAGCACTAACCAGTGCTCACTGGTTAGAACCAGACGTTCCTGGACACACAAAATGGAGACAAAGACATCAAAGTAGGTATGGAGGGGTCAGCAAATAGGCAGGGAAAACAAAAGAAGACTGAAGGATTACATCACTTTACCCTAATCTAAGCCACCACAGTCATTCCTTTATTTTTAGTGTCTACTAGTGAGTTTCTCTGCTACTTTTCTTGTCCTTTTCTCTTTCACACATGTCCCTTATGAGGTAAGAAGGCTAAGAACTCCATGGGGACCAGGACATTGTTCTCTCCCACCTTTCTGAGTAGTTCTTGGCGGCTATACTCTATCAGCAGGGGCTCTCCATGCTGACTGTGATAGGACTGCTGAGACCGCTCCTCACGTTGAACAACATCTGGCAGGAAACTGCTGGCCCATACCTATTGGAAGACAGGAGTAGACAAGAACAGGGAGGTCCTTTACCTCCAAACTTCTTCATCACTAGTGCATTGCCTTTATCTCATCCCTTAATTAAGTTCCCCACAGTGCTAGTTGGACCCAGTCAAGAAAGCCACTGCACCCCCTGGCATGCTTACCTGGCAATGGGGATGCGGGTTAGAACAGCCCATCATAGCTCCTTTATTTTCAAAGATCTGTTGGGTAAAGATAGGGTGCGTTATTTTTTCTTTTTGAGACAGGGTCTCACCATGTAGTTCAGACTAGCCTTGAATTTATAATGTAGCCCATGCTGGCCTCAAACTTGAGCCTCCTCTTGCCTCAGCCTTCTGAGTTCTGGGATTATAGGCATGCACCACCATGCCCAGCTATAATGAAGTTCTTGAATACCTGGAAAGATACAAGTCAGTACCCTTCTAGCCACACCCAGTGAAAACAGGTATGCTACTCCCCTAAATCAGAGCTGTACTTTTTCCCCTCCCTGCCCAAGAAAGGGACTACTTCACAGACCTGTACCCAAGGGTACTGAGCACCCAACTCCTCTGTGACTGAGGCCCATGAATCGATGACAGCCCGGATCTCAGGGACCGACATGAGAGGCAGCGTCACATCCGACCAGGGGTGGAAGCACATGACTTTACTAAGTGGGGAGGGGGGAATTAATATAGGGGGTTGGGTGCTAGGGGCAGAATCCAACCCCAGGGTAAGTCTCTAACCCTGGGTGAAAAGGAAAAAGCCATAGTTACCAAACTCCTCGAGCGGCCTCTGCTCGGAAAAGGGGATGATCACTGGGTCCTGAGATAGAGGAACATTACTCTGTGCAGAAACTAGTCTCCTAAAGGTCAAGCCTCCCTCCTCCCCAACAGTTGGAATTAAGGTACCTGGATTCGGAGCATCAGGCTGCAGAGCTGGGAAGTCATTGTCAAACAGAAAGGTGCCTTCATAGTGGGGATTCACCTACAGACAAGGATAGGCTAGAAGCATCCTCTGCCTCATACCACCATCTGGTGGGTTTCAGGGGCTGCACAGGCTGCAAGGGAAGGCGGAAGGCACACTCTAGGGAACAAATGGGCTTGGTAGGATACGACCATCCACGGCCCCTATAGGTGAAAGGGAGCTCTGAGGGGGAGTCTACACACACACACACACACACACACACACACACGTGGGTGTGGGCTCTAGAGGCTTACCTCTCCGTTGGCCCGTGTGGCCCCGGGACACAGAGGGTTGAGGGGATCGTGGCGGGGCACTGTCTTCAGAAGCAGGGGCTCCACTTGACCTTGCCAAGGCCGCTTCATGCGGTGAGCTGACACCAGCACCCACTCATCCTGCAGCGGGTTGTAGCGGATGTGTTGATGCTCTGGACACAGTTAAGATCAGTCAGCAAGTTTATGTCTCTCTCTGCCCTGGCTCTCCCTCCCCAACAAGAGGCCCGAGCACAGCGGCATCCATTCGGGCCGGTCCTGCTCATGAAGCTAAAGGCCCAGGGCTGACCCTTTCCAGCGCCAGCGGGTGCTCAGCCTTTCACTAGCCCTGCGGTCCCCTGTCGGGTGTGAAGGAAGGCGCGCACTTTGAAAATGGGGTGGGGGGTGTTGAACGTTCTAAGGAAGAGGAGGGTGCGGCGCCGCGTTCCAGCGAGTCCGCAGCCGCCCAGCAATTACCGCTAGACCGGAAGGCCGCTGAGGTGCGGTCCACCTCTGATGTCCGCTGGTGCTGCTCAGGGTCTGATCCACTGCGCGACATGAGGACAGTCGGGCGTAGCGGAGACAGTCTGCGGAGGCCCCAACTCAGGCTTTCATTTCTAGCTGCCCCGCCCGCCCCGGTGATTGGCCAGCCGCCAGCACGTGACAGCCTGAGCAGGAAGCCACCGGGAGGCGGGGCTCGGGCGGGCGGAGCGGCTAGTGGAATGATTTGGTTGCTGCACCCCACCCAGAATGCAGCCGCTACCTTGGAAGAACCCCTGCCAGAACTCCTTACCACAGAGTCCTGCTTCGGGACGCTTTTGGTGCACTCAGCCATTCATGTGACTACTCATTCAGTAAATATTTACTAAGCCTCTACCGTATGCCAGCACCCGGTTCTTCATAGAGCACTGAGATGCCCACGCACAGAAGTCCGGCCTGCCCTCTCCTCTCTCCGAGCTTACCTTGTAGGACCTGGAACCACTTGAATCATTTGCTCAACAGCTAAGATGGAGGAGGAGCAACCTTGGGGTACAGGTGGCCATTGATCTACTACAGCTGAACACTGACCCTTCTAGTTTTTCTTGAGGAGTGGGAACTTCACCAAACCCAATTGCTACCTGCAGAAACAGGTTTGAAAAAAAGACATAAGAAACCATGGACTCATATTGTGCACCTATTCATTTATTCTCTCTCTCTTCCTCTGCCACTCTCTTTTCTCTCACTCACCCCCCCCCACGCACACATAAAACACACATGCACAGACCCAAAACACAAGAAGTGTGAGAAATAAGCTACAATAAATATCAAAATTGCCTGGAATGGTGGTACACACTTGTGATTCTAGCACTCAGTAGGCTGAGACAGGAAAATTTGAGACCAGCCTTGGCTACATAATAGTTCAAGGCCAGACTTAATTAAATAGTGAGACCTTGTCTCAAAACAAAACACGAACTGGGCACAGTAGTGTGTGCGCCTGTAGTCTCAGCTACTAGGGAAATAGGGGCAGGAAGATCATATGAACTCAAAATGTTCAAGACCAACCTGGGCAGCATAGTGAAATCAGTCTCAAAAACAAAGCAAATTTGGATGCTGTGGTGCCTGCCTGTAATCTCAATACTCTGGAGGCAGAGGCAAGATTGCTGTGAGTTCAAGGCCAGCCTGGACTACATAGGCAGACCCTGTCTTTCTCCCCCCACCCCCAGAACTGGGCTTATTCTACTGAGCCATCTCCCCGGCCCCCAGACCCTGTCTTAAAAATAAATAAATAAAACCATACAAACAAAATGAGGTAAGGAGAAGTAAATAAAAGATGTGAGGAGGAGGACAGGACTGTTACTAACTCCAGCTACCATCTGGGAGGTATCGGAGGTATCTCCTTTACATGTTCCTTTTTCTTCTCCATGTTTTTGCTTCTTTTGATGAGGCCAATTAGCTAACACTAGAATAAAATTCAAATTAATTTCTCCCCTGGCACTTCTAAAAAGCCATCTAAATAGGATCTATACCTCTGCCCACTTTAGAGTGGGGAACAGAGTCCTCAGAGTTACCCAGAGAATGAATAGCAAGCTGAGATCTGAATAGAGATTTCCAATAAGTTTCCCAGTGCTGTGACCTGTGTCTGAGACTTGAGTGGAATTCAGGACAGAAACCTAGTGAGCTAGAAGCTAAACTACAGCAGGGGGCTGGTGAGATGGCTCAGTGGTCTAAAGCACCTACTTAGAACAAGCTAAGCTAAACAAAGCACAGTGTCCCTGGTTCAATCCCCCAGCACCACATGCCAGCCAGCCCTGCCCCCTGGTGGGCTGAGCTGGCCCCCCCACACACATAAATAAATAAATAAATAAATGTTAAAAAAAAAAAAATAAACTACAGCAGGGAGGCCCCCTTCTCCAAAGCCAGGCCAGGATAGGCCACACCAGATATTCTGCAACCGGGCTGAAAAAAAATTAGATAAGTCATTAGTCACCTACATGATCTTTGCCCTAGAGTCCTCAGAGTGGACTCCAAAGGGGCCACTAGCTAGGGAATAGAAAGCAGACTAATGTGTGAGTTTTATCTGTTCCACTGGCCGTTCATAGTACAAGATGGGGTGATGGCAGGGATAGGAAATCTGTTTTTCTCCTCTTTCAAGTGTCTTTGTTTAAGTGTCTGGATTTTGGAGGCTGCTTCATTTTCTCAGGAACACAGTGTTTCAATTCTATACTCTAGATCATGCCAAGTTACTCCCAACCCCCTCCAGGAACATTTCCATAACTCTCTGTCTCCCAGATCACTTTTTTGGAAGGAAAAAGAAAATCTAATGGCTCTGCCATTCCCTAAGAATTCTCTACTAGATCCTCTGTAACTATAGTAATAGATAAAGAAAATATAAGGAATTTTACACATTTTAGGAGACTGACCTGGCAATGGTATACATAATTTCTGTCTGTATTTCATTGCCCACAACATAACACATGGTCCCACCTGCATAATAATCTGTAGAACATAAGCTGGCTGTTTAAGAGCAAAATAAAATATATTAGTGGATTTGGCATTGCCACAGCCACATGCCCCCAATAAAAAATCCAAGGACCATGTCTTATCATCTTATTGAACTCAGTTATATTTGACTCTGTTGACCATCCCACCATTCCTGTGGTGTGAGGCTTTTCCAGGTATGATTTATTTGTATAACTAAATATAATGTTCATTATGTGGCAGGCACTAATTGCTTAAAAAATATTAGCTCATTTCATCTTCATCACACTAAGGACATGTACTATGAAGTAGGTACCTTCATTTATTTCATTTTACAGATAAGAAAACTGAGTTATAGAAAAGTTAAGTAATTTTTCCAACATTGCACAAGTAGTAGGGGTCAAATAGCCAAGGCTTTGACTCCAGTCCAGCTTCAGAGTTTATTTCTTTTCTCTTTCTTTTATTTATGTGTGTGTGTGTGTGTGTGTGTGTGTGTGTATGTATGTGTGTGTGGTACCAGGGATCAAACTCAAGACCTTGCACTTTCCAGGCAAGCACTTATTTCACTGAGCTATCTCTCCAGCCACCAGAGTTTGCATGAGCAGGCATTTAAACAACTGAGCTAACTACTGCCTGGCTCCCTCCAGAGTTTAGTTCTTAATCACCACATTATGCTGCCTCTTTCTTTTGCCTAGTTTCTTTCTCTTTCCCTTTCTTGTTCTCTTTCTCTCTCATCCTCTTTCTCTTTCTCTCTCATTCTATTTCACTTTCTCATTCTCGTTCTCTCATTCTCTCTCTTGCTCGCTCCCTCTCTGCCTATTCCTTAGTCGGTGTTTTCTACAGCACTGTCCTTTACCTTACCTTATTCAATTATCCTCCCTATAAGACTTTATCAATTTTTAAGGTTACCATATTTTCTGTAGGATCCCTAGAGAGATTAAGTGGCGATAAGACCATACCATCTCTACTGACAGATCTTTTTACCTGTACCACAGTCCTGGTCTCCCCAACTCTCATCTTGCACCCTCCTCTACTCTCCACTCTGAGGCACAATCTGATCCCATTGCTCTCCTGCACATAATCCTCCACTGGTTTAGGAAGCCCTCCTCTTAAATTTCATGCTTCAGAACAAAGGATAAATTGTAGGCCCCCAAAGGACCCATGCTAGGGCCGGGGAGATGGCTCAGTAGAATAAGCGCTTCCCTGGCAAGGGCAAGGGCCTGAATTCAATCCCCGGTTCAAAAAAAAGAACCTATGCTAACCTAGCATGGTGGCACATGCCTGTAATTCCAAAATTCCAGGAAGCTAAAGCGGGAGGATCACCAGCTGAGCCTAACCTGGGAAATTCAGCGATTTATCAAGACCCTGTATCAAAAGTGGGGAGGATAGGCTGAGGGTGTGAAACTGAGTGGGAAGGCCCTAGGTTCAATCTCCAGGGTCATGCTCTCTTTGTATCTCTGCTCTTGCAGTGGGTCCAATGTGCTGGAATGCCTTTCTCTCTTAAGACGGCTCAAGGGTCAGGCCTCTGAAAAGCTTTCCCTAAAGTCCCAGGTATCACCACCTCGTCTCGTCATCTGCGCTAGTAAAAGGTTACAACAATCTCGAGTACAAGAAGACTCTACTTTCTGGGCTCGTCTGCTTTACACTGAATCCAAGCGGGGAAGTCAGTTCTGGATTTTTGCAGTCGGGCATCACCCTAAGAGAGACCGGGTCTTCCGACCCTAAGCAGGCGGCTGAAGCTGGCCCCGCCCCCTTGCCTCCCCGGCGCGGCGCCGCCCCACCCCTCTGCGCTCTCCACAAGGAAATGATTCAACCGATGGGGCGGTACTAGAGTGCTCGGACCGTTCCGATTGGTCAGGGCGAACCATACCACGGGAGCGAGGCTAGGGCCCAGGCTGCCGGCTGAGAACCGTAAGAGCCCCTGCTTTGAACTCAGGCTCCCTCCTGTGTTCCTCAGCGCCACTTCGCCAGGAGGGATGCAGTGGGCCGTGGGCCGGCGGTGGGCGTGGATCGCACTACTTCTAGCTGCGGTGGCAGTGCTAACCCAAATCGTGTGGCTCTGGCTGGGTGCGCAGAGCTTCGTCTTCCAGCGCGAAGAGATCGCGCAGCTGGCGCGGCAGTACGCCGGTGAGCCGGCTGAGGGAGGGAGCGGGGCGGCCTGCCCAGGAGCCCAGCGGCGGTTCCGAGGGCGGCATCCCTGACTGCCACTCCTCTGCTTCCGCCAGGTCTGGACCACGAGCTGGCCTTCTCTAAGCTGATCGTGGAGCTGCGGCGGCTGCACCCAGGCCACGTGCTGCCCGATGAGGAGCTGCAGTGGGTGTTCGTGAACGCGGGCGGCTGGATGGGCGCCATGTGCCTTCTGCACGCCTCGCTGTCCGAGTACGTGCTGCTCTTCGGCACCGCCCTGGGCTCCCGCGGCCACTCGGGTCAGTGCCAGCGGAGGGCCGGACTGGGAGGCTGGGGTTGCTCAGGGGCCCATTCCCTTCTTTTTGACATGAGCCATGTGATGGTGTGGACACCCTGATAGTCGATGTCCGTCTGATTATTACTTAGGCCGCTATTGGGCTGAGATTTCTGACACCATTATCTCTGGCACTTTCCACCAGTGGAGAGAGGGCACCACCAAAAGTGAGGTCTTCTACCCAGGTGAGTAATGAGGCTCTGTTAAAGAGTGGATCTCCTCACTGTGGGAGCACCCACAATTGGAAAGGGGGTGTTGGGAAGATCCTCTCCATGGTTTCCTTCCTTCACTCCCACCTAAGCCACAAGTGGTTGGTTGGGGCAGAGCAGAGGAGCCTTATTTTCTTCTGTTAAAGAGAAAACATAATAGCTTCTTGTTAAACATGTCTGATTTTTATCTGGTTTACCCAACCAATATTTCCAGCAATGGTGGTAATTGGAAATGCTCTCCTACCCAAAAGATAAAGAAAATTGTGCCCCTTTTTAAAATAATGAAACAATTTACATTAAAAAGTGGAATTTGAGGTTAAGTGTAAGCACAAAAAGCATTGTGATTGAACAGCTACATTTCTCAGAAAGCCTCACAAATCCTGTAACCATGCCTCCCTAACTGCACAGCCTGGCTTAAATTTACCTAAATGTCTACTTGACATAAGTGAGGTTTGGAATTTATATTGCATGACTTCCATACAATAGCCCATGGCCGTGTAGGGGAATTTTGGTTTCCACCAAGAGAGGATATGGGCCAGATGGTGCCACAGAACATTTTGGAGTGATGATGTGGTACTTTCCTCTCTAAATGGAAGACTAGGCCAGTGAGGTAGGGCTTTTACTTTTCCTGAAGTTGTGTTTTCATTTCCCACCCTAAATAGCCCATGGGCCAGGAAACCCAGCAATAGAGGGGCAGGGCAGAGGTTTGTGCCTCCTCATGTGTGTGCTCTCCCCCAGGGGAGACAGTGGTGCATGGGCCTGGTGAAGCAACAGCTGTGGAATGGGGACCAAACACATGGATGGTGGAGTATGGCCGGGGTGTCATCCCATCTACCCTGGGATTTGCACTGGCTGACACTGTCTTCAGTACCCAAGACTTCCTCACCCTATTCTATACCCTTCGCGCCTATGCCCGGGCCCTCCGGCTTGAACTCACTACCTACCTCTTCGGTGAGGACCCTTGAGCAGCCAGCCCTTGAAGGAAGACCTGTGGATGGACAGGAGTGGGCAGGCCCACACATCCACTGACTGGAGCCCATATGCACAGGCAGGGACCTCACACCATGCCAATACTGAGTTCCTGCTGTGCTCGGAGGGACATATACTTATACATCCAGATCATGGGAACAATTTGGGACATACCTGTATGCCAAGACCTGTGTGTACTGCAAGATCATTCACTCACAACCACCCAGAGAGGGAGCCCCTTATATCAAGGGGACCAGTCATATTTCAGCGCACATGTCACAAGCTTGACTCACTAACTCAGGCCTTTCCAGAGCTTCCTACCTGTAGTCAGGGCTCTGGAGTTAAGAATGAAGGTGAGTTTAACACTCTGCCTCAGTCTAACTCCTCAACCTAGCAGTAGTGGGGGCTGGGGGAGCTGCCCTTTGGAGGCCCCCTTCTCCTACAGCTATGATGCTCTTTCCCTTTATCTCCCCTGTCCACACCATATGCCTTATCCCCATTCCACACCCCTGCTATGCAAGTGCCCCTGTGGCTTGTTCCCTACCCCCTGAGCAACTAAATCAGCTGGGGAACCAGAGGAATGTAGAGAATTCTAAAGTGAAGCTTGTCCACCCTGACAACACCCCCTCATTCCTTCCTTGGAGGTGTGGTGGGAAAGCTGGCCTCCTCCCTGGCATCAAGGGTCCACCCCTGGCCTAGAGAGGGCTTTTTCTGTATGTGTGTACACACCTCATCACAGTTTGCAGACACTGCCCCTTTTGCATTCCCTGCCCATCTGTCTCACTTAATAAAGACTTGCCAAACAATTCCATTTCTTTGTGTGTCTAAGCTTCAGGAAAAGCTGGTAACTCTTGGGGGAACCTCAAAAAAAGATCTCTCTGTGCAGTTCAGTTGCTAAGATAGTTGCTTGCTTTAGAATATAGTAGAATTTAAATGTATTTGAGTATGCCTCGTTATCTAAGAGGCTTGTTGAGCCTACAAATTATGGGACCCCATCTCAGTAGATCAGGGGTCTGGGGGCTGAAGCCTTGAAGTTAACATGTGTGATAACATCCTTTTCAACACAATTGGGAATGTCATAATCTGAGCAATTCAGGCCAGAGTGAAGTGTGTGTCTTGGCTTTACTCTGGCAAATACTAATCTGGGAACGGTCCTACAAATCCAGCCTTTGATGGCCACAGGGTGGCAGTGTGCACCTACTTCTGAGTTTGGAAGGAACACCAAAAAAAAGGGCCTTGTTAGTCTCTTGGGTTTCTCCCTGCCTCTCCTGTACAGTGCAAGCCCCTTCCCCAAACAACAGATCCTGTGCTCTGTGGTCTGTCTTTTGACCCACTATTTCTGTGTGGCTCTTGGGGTGGGAGGCAGGTGTATTCCCTGGTAGTATGTGAGGGGGCCTAAAGTACGCTCACTCCTAAAGATGCTACTTTTTAATTTTTAAGATGCCTTTTTAATTTTTGTATTTTAGGCACCAAACTTGCCTTGACCCCAGCATGTCTTTCTGGGGATAAATAAAGCTCAGGTCATTCCCATTTTTTTAAGTTTCCTCGTATTTTAAAAGTGGAAGACCCATGCTTATAAAATTATGTTTTTGGGGTGTGTGTGTGTGTGTGTGTGTGTGTGTGTGTGTGTGTGTTAATGTATTTGGTTGTTGCAGTGTCTCACTACAGAGCCTGTTTTCAGCCTCCCCAGTGCTGGGATTACAGGCATGTGTCACTACCCTGGACCCTGACCTGTTCAACCCACCCTGGGGATGGGGCTGGCATGGCATATGGTGCCCAGGATCGAACCATGGTCCCTGTGCTTGCCTAAAAAGGCACTTCAGTCTGCTAAGCTATCTCACTGCCCCCAAAATTATGTTTATTAAATTTAGCATTTTCCCAGTACAAGGGATTAAACTGGACCTTTGCACTGAGCTAAATCATGTCTTTTTTTTTTTTTTTCCTCTTGAGTCCCACCAGGTTGCTCAGGTGGGACTTGAACTCTTGATCTGCCCACCCTAGCCTCCCAGAGTACTAGCATTACAGATGAGCACCAGCATACCTGGTTTATTTTTCTGTTTTGAGACAGGCCCTTGTTAGGTCACAAAATTGTTTGGATTTGGCTCAAATTTTTCATGTTTCTGCTTCAGCCTCCAAAAGTGCTGGGATCATAGACATGTGCTACTATGCCCAACTTTTAAGTCTGACATTCTGATGAACACAAAAAAGACTACATGTATAACCTCACTTAGAAACATCAAAAGTCTAAATGTATGGCTCTCACTGGGCTTGGTGTTGCACACCTGTAATCCCATCACCTGGAAGGCTGAGGCAGAAGAATCATCACCTTGAGTTCAAGGCCAGCCTGAACCTGTCTCAAAAAAAAAAAAAAAAAAAAAAAAAAAAGTATGGCTCTGAGTGAATTTGAAGCCTAGGCAAATTGGCCACTTTGATGCCCCACTGACTACAACAGGTTGGCCATGACAGGCAAGGGCCAACTTCTCCATCAATCCCAAGTTGCAAAACCATGTCTGCTTCCCCTATCCCTCTGTTGCGCAGCTTTACCTCCAGGCCCAGAGCACACAGCTATCAGGGATGGCACAGTGATGGTCATCCCTCACACAAAGGTTCCAAGGCCCCTCACTAACTCTTGCTAAGCAGGATGAGTGGACATTTCATAGTTCTCAACTTTCTTACTAGTTGGTGCTGGAATTGAACCCAGTCTTACATGTATGCTAAATATGGCTTCTTGCACTTAGCTAGCTACACCCCCAGCCCTTACTTGTTTTTTGACACAGGTAATCACTCCTATGATACTTTCAGCTTCTAGGACACACCCACAGTCCTCAAATCTCTTTTCTGTTTACATCTCCTCCCAAGTAACTTAAAGTATTTCATAACGAAATACTATCTGTAAGGGCCAGCCAAATAGCTCAGTGGATTAAAGGGCCTGCTTAGGCAGACACAGGGGCTGGGGCTCAATCCCTGGTGTGCTGGCCCTGTCCTCAGGGTGCACTGAGACAGCGATTAAGACTGGGTGTGGTGGCGTACACCTGTAATCCCAGCTCTTGGGAAGCAGGACACAGACAGATCACTACGAGTCTGATCTACATACTGAGACCCTGTAGACCCTGTTGACCCTGTCCTAAAATACAAAATAAATAAATAAACTATGTTTCCTTTTTTTTTCCTTTTGGAACTGGGGATTGAACTCAGGCTCTTGCGCTTGTCAGGAAAGCGCTTATTCTACTGACCTGTTTTCCCAGCTCTATCTATGTGTCTTGACTCCTAAATCTTCATGTTAAATCTCTTCTTGTGCTCCAGCTCTGCATAACTTACTGCTTCTATCTCTATTGAATATCTCCACTTCATTACTTAACAGATATTTTAAACTTAAAATGTCCAAACCAAGCCAAGCACAATGGCTACTCAGCCTGTGATACCTAGGAGGCTGAATTAGGCATATCCTAGCCTCAAGCCCAGTTGTTAGGTCAGTAGTAGAGTTTTTACTTAATATAACGGAGGTCCCAAGTTTAATACACATTGATTCAGGAGGATAAGAAGGTTAACAAATTAAATGCCAGGCTGGCATTTTAGCAAGAGTCTGAAAATTGTATAAAGGGCTGGGGCTGAGTGTGGTGGTGCACAGCTGTCATCTCAGCATTCAGGGGGCTCAGGCAGGAGGATCACCACTGGTTCGAAGCCAGCCTGGACTATGTAATGAGTTCAACTTTGGGTTTTTTTTGTTTTTGACACAGGGTCTTACTAGGTAGCTGTGGCTCATGATCATCCTCCTGCCTCAGCCTCCCAGGTGCTGGGATTACAAATGTACAGGCATGTGCCACTGTGCCTGGCTTTGGAATCAGTTCAAGGAAAGCCTGAACTACATGGTGAGGCCTTGTCTCAAAGAGGGGGTGGGGGAATGCTCAGTGGTAAATGACTTGCTTAGAAGGGATTCAAGTCCCAGTATGGAAAAGAAAAAGATTTCCAAAGCAAACTGATTCTCTAATCCTATCCCTCTCCACTTCACTGCCGTCTTTACTATCTCAGTTAAGAACACCTTCATTACCCAGCTGCCCAGACCAAAAGTCTTAGAGTCTAGATACTGCTCACTCATTCTCTTACATCCTACACCTAAGCCATCAACAAATCCTCAGTTTTATCTTCAGAACACCTGGGCTCTAACCATTTTTCTCATCTCCACTGCTACCACACTGGTCCATGACACCATCATCCGGTCCTAGTCTGCTACCACAGTTGCCACCTAACTGATTCCCATGCTTGCATCCTATGTGGAGGCTTGCCATACAGCAAGGCCAAGTTTTGCTTGTGGAGACATTCCAATGACTTTCCACCCTGTCCCGTCCTTTCATGCCTTCCATGGCTTGCCCCAAGGCCCCTGTTAGCTCTGACCAAACATCTAACCATTCACCTCTACTCCAGCTCAGTGCCCCCCTTGCATCTCTTCCAACACATCAAGCACTTTCTACCTCAGGATATTTGCACTGGCTGTTCTGGCTGCAAGGTTCTTCCCTAGATATCCACATAGCTCCTATCCTCCCTGCTTTCAATTCTTGCTCAGTATAATCCTTCTCTTAACATTTAAGTAATGCTATCCCTTCTGTTGCTTTTATTTTTGATTGTTGGGGTTTTTGTTTGTTTTGGTGCTAGGTGTTAAACCCAGGGCCTCATACATGCTAGGTAAGTACTCTGACTGAGCTGCACCTCCAGCTCCCTCTGCAAAATTTTTGGTATTCTTCCCTTTGAGAGGTGAATCTTAATTTTCTTCCCCTTGAGTGCCAGCTAGACTTAATTATATACTGGAATAAATGATATCTATGTTTTCAGAAGTGATTGTATAGCTTTCCTCTAAGCCATAAAAACATACTACTGCCTCTTTAGTTTCTTTTGGGTCACTTTAGGGAAACCTAACTTCCTTCTCAGGAGGACACACAAGCAATCCTATGTAGAGGCACAGGTCGGGAAAAAAAAGGCTCTGTCCATAGCTTTATGGGTGCATTGCCTTGGAAGTGGCTCCTTCCACCCCAGCCAAGACTTCAGATAGAGGCAATGAGTCAGAACCATCCTATTAAGCAACTTTTGTTTTCTTTTGTTCTTTTTTGGTTTTTCAAGAGGGGGTTTTGCTGTGTAGTTCAGGCTGGCCTTGAACTCATTGCAAACCTCCTGCCTCAGCCTCCTGAGAGGATTACAGGCAAGTAATACCACACCTAACTTAACTATTATTATTTTTTTGGTATGTATTTGGTACAGGGTCTCACTACACAGCTCCGACTTGTAGTAATCCTGTTTTCAACCTCCCCAGTGCTGGGATTACAGGCATGCACCACTACTCCCGCTCTTGGTACCCAGCTCAGCATGCCCAGGGGCGGGGCCAGCGCACATGTGGTGCCCCCATTCTTGAATCTCAGAATATGTGAGATACTAAATTGTGTGTATGTGTATCCAACACTGGGGATTGAACTCAGGGCATCACCCAGAACAACAAAAGAGCTATATCTGCAGCCCTTTTGTATGTTGCCCCCCGGCCCTGGTATTGGGAATCAAACTATCACAACCTCACACTTTCCAGGCAGGTGCTTATGCTGCTGAGCTATCTCCTCAGCTTTCTTTTTGGTATTTTTTGTTTGAGGTAGGATCTCACTAAGATGCCCAGGCTAGGGAATCCTATCTCACCCTCCCAAATAGTCAGGATTAGAGATGTACACCACTGTGCCAAGATGTTTGTTGTTTAAAGCTTCTACACTTGGGAATAATTTGTTACACAGCAATAAACAACCAGTAAGTCCTCCCTTTCTATTCCTTCCAACTCAGCCATATTTCCCCTGTGGTACATCTCACCATCTGACACAGTTGTATTTTCCTCACTAGAATTGTGCCATTGTAATAGATTTTTTTCTGTATCCAACAATAGCTGGCAAAATAAATATATGCTTGATGAATGAAGCATTGGCTTCTGGAGGTCTAGGTCAGTCTGCTTTACCTTTGTGAGGGCTACAAGCAGACTGTGCCTGCGGGTGTGAGAAGCAGTATTTTCTTTTCCAGATGAAGAGAGAGAAACCAGGGCCCTGTCAAGCTATTCCTTTACCTCAGACCACCCCAGTTATAGCCCTTGTGGCTCAGCCTCCAGTGGTGGTTTACTGCTTACCTTGGTGGGGCAGGTAGTGGTGGTGGTACTGGAGATTGGACTCAGTGCCTTCCCACTAAGCTACATTCACAGCCCTTTTTAAATCTTTTTTTTTTATTTTGAGATAGGATCTTACCAAATTGTTGTGTTTCCCAGGCTGGGCTCAAACCTGTGATCCTCCTGCCTCAGCCTCCTATAATGCTGGGATTATAGGAACATGCCACCATCTCCAGTTTGATTTTCTTTCTTTCTTTCTTTCTTTCTTTCTTTCTTTCTTTCTTTCTTTCTTTCTTTCTTTCTTTCTTTCTGGAAAAGGGCATAGCCAGGACAGCAGAGTTTCTTAGGGGTCTACCTCTGCTCCAAGGAGTGATATCTATTTCTATTTCAAACATCTAACCATTCACCTCTATTCTGACCCAGTGGCCCTCTTGCATCTCTTCCAACACATCAAGTACCTTCTACCTCAGTATATTTGCACCGGCTATATCCTGAGCCAGACTTGGCTCTGCCTCAGGGGAAGTAATATCAAACAGCCATCTTCAAGGGGGCATCAGGCTGAATTCAGTTGGAGCACCAAGTTTGGGGTTGCTGACTGGCCGTGATGTCTGATATCTGAGGTGAGGGACACTGAGGCTAGACACTGAGTAACCCTGAGCCCCAGTGCAGGCAGGGATTGGCCACCAGGGACAAGGACTTAGTGCTTCTACAAGAGCTGTGGAAGAGTGGAGGCTGGAGCCAGGGAATGCAAGGAGTGATATCCAACATGGGATTCTGATAAGAAGAGCTGGTGGTCTGGACCAGTACAAACTGAGGCCAACAGGAGTGAGTGGGTTGATTGGGATAAGGGAAGGAAGAGAAAACAGAGGAATGGTAGCCCTGGGGCATGTGTGCCTCCCTGGCTGTGAGGTCAGGACACTTGTTGGTGCTGCAAAGTATGGCATAATTTTATGTCCCTGCCACACGTCATCTTAATGGACACCTGCTATCCAGTCACCTTAGGGTGGGGCCCTCTGGATACAGAAAGAAACTGAGGAAGTATGAGGGTGTCTGAAGAGCAGGGTTCTGGCTGCTTAGAAGGGAATTTGTGGCCTGCCATTGAGAGCTTCCAAAAAAGGAACAGGATCTAGGGGATAGTTAGGGTCCTGTAGGCCCAAACAGTATCTCCAGCAGGAGTTTGGGGATACAGATTTGGAAGCCAGGCACACATAGATGAAGAATATATGTGAAGACAGGCAAAGTGCTGATCACTGTGAAGCAGGAATGAGTACCTGAGGTTCATTATATTTCTGCTCTTTTGCCATGTATGTTTGGAAATACCCACAGTGGAATGTCAAAGGGAGCCAGATGTGCTGGCACAAACCTGTAGTCCCAGGGACTGGGAAGGTTGAAACAGAAAGATCGAAAGTTTGAGCTTAGCCTGGACAATTTAGTGAGAACTTATCTCACAATTTAAAATTTTTGAAAAAAGCTGGGGTATAGCTCAGTGATAGAGTGACCCTGGCTGGGTTCAATCCCCAGAACCAAAAATAAATGAATAATAAAAAAGAATGACAAGACATGTTAAAAGAGACAAAAGCGTATGCATCTGTGTATGTGGCATGTGTGTCTGTCTGTATGTTCGCGCGCACGCGTACACTGCCGTGGGGGTGCAGTCAGCTCAGAGACCTCTGTGCCGTGGGTCCACTGCCATGGGCACGCACACCTGTGTGTGAGGGGCAGCACGCACACAGGACAGGACAGCAGGCGGGCAGAGCAGGAGCAGAGGCTTCTGTTCTAGCCAAGCTCCGCACTCACCCCAACAATTTTCCTCGTGGTGACCAACTGCTGATGATCATCAGCTGCCCAGGCCATCGGCGCTGTGGTGAACAGTAACAGAGTGTGCCTGGGCAGCTGTATGTCTAAACTTGTGGCCAGGTGTGCTGGCGCGTGCACGCCACTGTGTGTGAATACGCCGCAGCACAGAGTGCGGTGGGCACAGGGCACGCGGCTTGGGAGGGGTGGGCGGGGCGCTGGTTCAGGGTCCAGCGCTGGTGTACTCCTCACTGTCCCTTTGCAAGATTCCCCGTAACTCTCCAGTGCCCCCTATCCCCGAGGCTGGCCGCGGGGAAGGTGGGAGACACCTGTTGGGGCGCCGCTTCCCCCGCACCCCGCCCGCTGTGCCCGCCTAGGGTCCCGCCCCCGCGACCGCAGCCAGCAGAGCCACGGAGAGGAAGCGCACGGCGGCCGGAGGAGCACTAGGCGGCACAAGCGCAGCGCGGGGACCTGCGCGGGCGGGCGAGGCAGGAGCGGCTAGGAGGCAGGCGGAGCGCAGGGGCCGCCGTGGAGACACCGGGGGCAGCGGGCCGCGCCAGGCAGGTGAGTGCGGCTGGGACGCGTCGAGCGCCAGGAGCAGGGCGCGGAGACCCAGAAGCCCCCTGCCGGTCCGGTCCGTCCGGGCTCTACCCTCGCCGCCCTCTGTGCCATCTCTCCTGGATTCTCATCCTCCGTCTCTCTGCCCGCCCTCTCCGTCAGTTTTTCCCTATCTCTGTCTTTCTGTGCCCCTCTATTTTCCTACTCTTGGTCGGTCTCTACCTAATCTCTCTTCTGTCTCTGCCTCTCGCTGCGTCTTTCCCTGTCTCTCTCAACCCGTCTCACCTGATATGTCTCTCTCTTCCTCCTGTTTCTGTGACTGTCCCCGCTGGGCTGCCTGTCACTTAGGTCTTTAGTCTCTTGATCTTCTCTTATCCTCCTCTTTTCAGTATCTCCATCAATCTCATCTTTCCCTATCTCTGTCTCTACTCTTGCCTCTGCCTAATAGCCCAGCCTCTCTCCACCTTGATCCCTCTCAATCTGTTTCCACCTCTTACTGCTTGTCCCGTCTCCATCTCTTCCTCCGTATCTCCCTGACAGTGTCTTTCATGTTCTCTCTCCCCAAACCCTCCAACCCACCCTCCCCTGTCTTCCTCTCTTCTACCTCTGTCTCCTTATCCCTGTCACCCTTTCAAATTTACTCGCTTCCTGTCTATCAATCAATTGCCATTTCTGATTCCCGGCTATGGTCCCCGTCTTTCCTCTTTTTTCTAGCTTTCTGTCTCTCCATCTCTGGCGTAGCTATCTTTCTACCCTTTCCTTATGACCCTCTCGTGTTCCAAATCCATGACCACCTCCCCTTGTGTTGAGGGATGTGGAGACAGCAAAACCCAGCTCCCAAAATTCCCTCCCCCACAGGCAGCCCTCTCCGTGGGGCCCCGCCTGGTACCAGGGGCCCCCCCAGCAGGGGGACTGCGCCTGGAAGCTGTAATGGAGGCCCTGCAGAGGCAGCAGGCAGCTCGCCTGGCCCAAGGGGTGGGGCCACTGGCTCCTCCTCATCCTCCACTGCCGCCAAGGCCTTCCCTGCCTGGTCTCCGGCCCCTGAAGGCTCCTGAGGGGGCTGAGGAAGAGGAGCATGCTGAAGAAGATGAGGAAGAGGAGGAAACTGGAGCAGAGGAGGAGGTAGCCGAAGAGAACTGTCCAGGGACCCGGGGCCCCAGCTCACCTACCACCCAGCCTCCTGGACCCCATCCCCATGAGTGGACCTATGAGGAACAGTTCAAGCAGGTAGGGCCCCCCCCTTTCAGGGCATCCCCTTTCCTCCCCTCCAGGTGAAAGCAGAGCTAAGTAATCAGTAGTCCACCCATCCCCACTGCCTTCTGCAGAATGGAATGATACAGAGAACTAGGGAAAGAGCTAGTGGGAAAACAGGACAATAGTGATAGGGTGACAGAAACACCCAGACATGTGAAAAGTGCATAGAAATGCACTAAGAGGCACTGAAGACACCCGGAAATACGCAGGCTGACAAATTGAATGCTACTGGTGAGTCTGAAAGGAAGGTGGGAGAGGTATAGGGGGTCTGAGGGAGAGGGAGCTGGAATTGAAGTACTTCCAGTGTCAGCACCACCCCATCTACCTTCTCACACATCAAGTTACGAGGACCAGTGGAATTGTCATGGGCATTCTACCTTGTCTTTGGAAGCAAGATAGTGATTCTACTCCCTTACTAGGCGGGTACATCCTTGCTCTTTCCTGTCAAACCACTCCCACCGTCTTGGGCTTAAGTTACATTAATGACAGTTTCCATTCTGTGTTGCCCCCTGGCAGCTGTAGTGTGTACCTGTGCAACTGGGAATGATAAGACCTTATTCACAGCGCCTTGATTCAAGGTTCTCCCTGATGGAGCCTTTCTGGGTATTAATCTAAAGATACTAGTACAGGCTATGATATCTAGTATCTAGTATCACTATGAAGGTGTTACTTGGAGCTGTGACTCCAGGTGTGGTATTCACAGTGTTACTCATAGAGTGTTGGTTTTAAGTATTTTCCAGAATTTTTAATCTGTAGGTAATACTTTGGGGCATTGGCATAAGACTGAGTGTATTATTTAGGGCCCTGTTACTTTGGAGATATGGTTCTAGTGACTCTTTCTCCTGTCCATAATTCTGGAGCTTATTACTTGGAAAATGGTACTTTTTTAAAGTGTCCACCTGAGACTTAGGGTCCAGTGTTGTGGAATATGGCTATAAAGACGAGTCTCTGTGGTTTGTCACTTACAGGTGATTTTTACTCTTTGAGTTCTTGTTTTAATTTGTTTGTTTTTGTGGTACCAGGGATTGAACTCAGGACCTTGCACTTGCCAGGCAGGTGCTCAAGCCGCTGAGCTATAGCCCTGGCCCTACTCTTTTGAGTTCTTATTGGGGTTTGGAGTGTTACTCAGAGACTATTACTGTGGATCAATGACACCATTGCTCTGGTGATTGTTCCTCTTAGATTTGGGAGGTGCTTCTGGAGATGATGGGACTCTAGGTGACTTGGAAATAGGGGGATGGCCCATAGGTCCTGAGTGGCATGTGATGGTCAGTGTCTTTGTGGCTGCTTCTACAGTAGGCAGGATAACTGCCTCTAGAAGGAGATCAGACCAACTCTCAACCCAGAAGCTCCAGAGCATCCTCCCGTCCCCTCATCCAGCACTGTCCCTGGCATATCAGGATGCAAACAGCATGAAGCCCTTGCACAGATGAATGAGATTAAATGTGTGCCTCAGATAAACATGTCAGTCCTCAATGCACAGCACAGCCCTGCCTAGCTTCTGCCTGGGTTTCTCAGGGTCCCCTCAAGGTAGGTTAAGTCTCCACCCTGGAATCCCAGGCTGAGTTGTTCTAGCTCCTTCCAGCTTCTTCCCATATTTTCCAGGGTTTGAATTGTGGAGAGCACCACTAGCCAGTAGGGGAGGGGGTTGTCTCTGTGTATTAGAAAAATGTACTGTACCTGCCCCCTAGTTGGTGGGCTTAATGCTGGGAGTTCACATTCAGACCTAGTCAGTCCTTCATTTAGGGACCCATGTTCAGGGTACAACCTGAACTGGGGTCCCAAGGGAGTGGGCTCAGTGGAGCTGGAGAATGATTCTGATCCTTCCCTAGCTGTATGAGCTTGATGCTGACCCCAAGAGGAAGGAATTTCTGGATGACCTGTTTAGCTTCATGCAGAAGAGGGGTGAGTGAGGTGATTGGGGAAGGATCCTGGAATTGCCTTTTCTTACTAGGTTTGAGGAAAGGAGACCCCAGGGTAAAGTTTCCAGGTGGGGTCCTCTCTCTAGAGGCCTGAGGTTGGCAGCACCTATCCTTTGGGCCCTCAATAGCGTCTTTAACCTCTGACCCTGCCCCCCTTCTCCACCTTGGGATTAATTAGTGGCAAGCCCACTGGCAGGTTAATGAGTGTGGGATCAATTGGGAGTGTGGAAGGGGGAATGGCTGGGGGGATGGCTTGGGTGGGAAGGTCCCAAGACTGGAAGGCTGGGAATATCTTGGTTCTGTATGGTGGGCTCTTTTTCCATCCAGCCTCATTTTCCCTCGGTTTTCCCTTGTTTGCTTTCCATATGCTCTATAGCAGGAAGGACTGGGATTATACTCAAGAAAGGACCTCACAAGGGCTAGGCTGGGGACCCTATGGGTTGGGGCAGAGGAGGAGATTCTGCCCTTCCTTCCTTCCTTCCTTCCTTTCTTCCTTCCTTCCCTCCCTCCCTTCTTCCCTCCCTCCCTCCCTCCCTCCCTCCCTCCCTCCTTCCTTCCTTCCTTCTTTCCTTCTTTCCTTCTTTCCTTCCTTCCAGGAATCTCAAAGCTAGAGAGAATGGAAGAAGGGTCCAGGAGGGCATAAGGGTGGGTGGCAGTCCATCACTTCAGTTTCTCCCCAGATTCATGGGACTGAACACTGACTCATTATCTCTCTCTACAAAGCTAATTAACTCACTCAGAGCGAAGCCTGATAAGCTGCTAATTAACTGGCTGCACTGAACCCCCCCTCCCCAGTGCAGCTGCTGGTCCAAGTCTCCCTGGGCCACCATCCCAGGCCCAACATCCCTTTCTGGTCCCTTCCTTCTTAGGGCCCCCAGCCCTCTTGCTTCCCAGGGTAGCTTAGGCATTCTGGTCCCAGTCTTTCTCTCTGCCCCCTCTTTGGTGTTTCTGATCTACTGAAAATGTTGGAGTAGTGGTAGGCTGGGCTGATCCCAGCTCTGCCCACCCCTGGCTCTGCCTCCCTCAGTCCCTGCCTCCCTCTGCTCAGCTGAAGGGGGAGGGACCATCCCACGGGGCCGATAATTTCCCCCCATTAATCAGGCCGCAGCTAATTGTTCGGGTCCAAAGGCAGCAGTGGAAGGGGACAGGATCGGTAAGGAATTAACTGGGGCCCATCGCTCAGCGGAGACAGGCCCCTTTGTCAGGACTGGCTGTCGGGGGTGGTGCAGGCCACATAGTTCGCTGGCCCAGGCAGGAGTTGATTCTTGTCCGCCTGCCATTCTCAAACCTCAAGCAGCCATTGAGGCCTGCTGCCTAGGGAAGTCAGCTGTTTGACACTATCCAGAAGTTCATCCTATAGTTTACCCCACAGTTCAACAAAGAAAAGCTTTCTGGTCAAATCCAGCCTCCTTCAAGATAGGAAAAAGTGTTTTTGTTTGCTTGGTGTATTGCGTATGGAACCAAGGCCTTGGGCATGTTAGGCAAACAGTCTGCCACTGAGCTACACCTTCAGCCCTTTTTATTATTTTAGTTTTAGATAGGCTGTTCATAATTTACAATAGCTGGGGATATAGCCCAGCAGCATAAGTCCTGCCTGCCACTTCAAGGTCCTGAGTTCAATTCCCAGTACCAAAAAAAAAAAAAGGTAACTTATATTCATCCTGCCTCAGCCTTTCCAGTAGCTAGAGACGCAGGAGTACACCCACTATGCTGAGCTTAAGAATGGTTTTTACATCCTTAGACAATAGAATTGAAAGAGGAATAACTTCTAGACATGTGAAATTAGAATTTCAACCAGGCATGGTGGTGTGTGTCTCTTGTCCTAGCACTTGGGAGGCTGAGCCAGGAGGATCACAGTGAATTTGAGGCCAGCCTGGGCTACATAGTGAGACGCTGTCTCAAAAAAACACAAAGCAAAACAGAAAATTCTAATTTTAGAGTCTGTAAATGAAGTTTTATTGGAGGAGCTTGGGAAATAGCTCAGTAGCACAGAGCCTTCCTGGCAAGCTCGAGGCCCTGAATTTGATTCCTGGTACAAAAATTTCATTCAAATACAGCTTGGCACATTCCTTTTCTTAAGTATCCTCTTAGGTTGCTTTCAGGCTACAGTTACACAACTGGGTAACTATGACAGAGATTGGTTTGCAGAGCTTATGCAGCACCACCTGTCCCTTTACAGAGTAAGTCTAGTGTCCCCTGGTTGAGCCTCTGTCCTTCCTGCTATGATGTTGATCCTGAAGGTTCTGTGGGTCACTGCTTGTAACCTCACCTCCCCATCAATTCCTCCTTCCCTCCCTTCTCCTGGGTCCTGGGGCACCCAAACTTCAAGCAGGCATCCAGTTCCTTCATTTCCCCCTGTTGATCTTAGTGTCTTGTCTGCCTACTCCTCATCAGGGACACCAGTGAACCGCGTGCCCATTATGGCAAAGCAAGTACTGGATCTCTATGCGCTGTTTCGCCTGGTGACGGCTAAGGGCGGTCTGGTGGAAGTCATCAACCGAAAGGTGTGGCGGGAAGTCACACGCGGCCTCAGTTTGCCCACTACCATCACCTCGGCAGCTTTCACTCTACGAACCCAGTGAGGCGGGCCGGAGGGATGAGGGGATGTGGATGGGGGCGCGGGTCGGGTGTGGGACTTGATTGGCCGTGTCCTGCCTCCCAATCCCCTACCCGCCCCCCGCCCCGCCCCTACAGGTACATGAAGTACCTGTACCCGTACGAGTGCGAGACGCGGGCGCTCAGCTCCCCGGGAGAGCTCCAGGCCGCTATAGACAGCAATCGGCGCGAGGGCCGCCGCCAGGCTTACAGCAGCGCCCCACTCTTCGGCTTGGCGGGCCCGCCCCCTCGGGCTGCTGCGGGACCCGCCCCGGGTCCTGGCCCCACCCCACCCGCGCCCCTACAGGGTCCCGGCCCAGCCCAGAGCTCTGCTTCAGGCCTGCCGGTACACGCGTGCGCCCAGCTGAGCCCAAGCCCTATTAAGAAAGGTGCGAGGGGAGAGAGGCGGAAGTTTAAGGGGTGCCTAAGGTCAGTGCAGGCACGACTATAGGAAATATTAAAATGTAGGAAGGCACTGCAATATGGAAGTAGCGAGATCAGATCGGGTGCTCCAGTCTGGGTATCTCTACCTATAGCGGTTCGGAGGTTTGGGACCTATAAAGTCCTGAGAGCTTTGGGGTATGGGTTACAGCTGTATGGAGCTGAAGCTTAGAAAAAAGACCTTTACCCTCAGCAGCTTTACTCCACACCTGTCCACCCAGAGCTCCTATTTGCATGTAGTTTGTACCTCTTGGACTTGAACTACTTAACAACCAAAAACAAGGAAATCCCCCAGAGTCTTAGACCAAACTAGACGTCTGTATTGTGCCTTGGAATTTTACACCTTCAGAGCCTCCTGGCTGGGGCTCTGAAAGGAAAGTGAGATTGAACTTGCTGCATGAACTTAGGTGAGCTCTTCTAGTCTCTCAGGCTTGGGAGAGAAACAAACACAACAGGTTGAAATAATGAGGTGGAGGAGCTAAATGACTCCTTCTTCCAGAGGAGAGCGGAATTCCCACCCGTCTGGCACTACCTGTGAGCCTCACCTTGGGACCTGTACGGAAGAAGATGGCACCAGAGGAACCTCCAGAGAAGAGGGCTGTGCTAATGGGCCCCGTGGATCCACCTCGTCCTGGGGCACCCCCCAGTTTCCTACCCCGTGGCAAGGTTCCCCTGAGGGGTGAGGACAGGCTTTCGGGTGAGGGGGTTTCCAGTCTGTGCACTGAGGGAGGATAGCTCCATCACCTAATAGATGTTGGAGGTGGGCAGACAAATCCTTCTGTACAGAACTGTATGGGGCTAAAGTGGAATGGGGGCTATCTCTAGGAATAGAGTGGGTGTGTCTAAGCCTGAAGCCAAATGTGACTTCCCTGCCCCCTCCTGGACAGAAGAGCGGCTGGATGAGCCCCTCAGTCTGGCAGGCAGCGGCATCAGCAGTATCAACATGGCTCTAGAGATCAACGGGGTGGTCTACACTGGTATGGGTACTGCAGGTCGTCTACACTGGCATGGAGTCAGGGATATTTAGTCTGGCATGGGGGCTTTAGGCTTTTGTACTAGCATGAGGTTCAGGAGTATCTGAACTTGCATGAGTACAGGTTCAGGGTGGTATGGGTGAAAGGGGATAATCTATAAGGCATGGGGTTTAAGGCATGGCCCTGTGGCATGGTTACCATGGAATGTTTGCCTTGTCATGGGTCTATGTGTCAGTGTTAGCATTTCTTATTTACCTGCTTGAAGGTATCTACACTGGCATAGGAATCTCTCACTAACCTAAGGGTCTTCTCCTTACAATAAAGGAGGTTGGGTGGCAAGGGTATGTGTGTGTGGTATTCTAGCAACCAGGATACTTACATTTTTTTTTCCCTTCTTCTGTTCTGTTCCCCCACCCTCTTCCGCTTGTGTTTGCCTTTACCACCTTCTACCCCTTTCACCAGGCATTCTCTTTGCCCGTCGACAGCCTGTAACAGCGTCCCAGGGCCCAACTAACCCTGTACCCCCACCCTCAGCAGGGCCCCCTGGCAATACCTTGCCCTGAAAGCTCATAGTCAGAACTAAGTCCCAGCCCCATTGTTGGGGTGGGGCACCATCTCACCTTGATTCTTTCAAGATGCCCACCCTGGGCCCTGATTGATACTATACCCCACTTCCTTGCTTAAGGTTTTACTTTGATGTTTCATCTACCTCACTGTAAAAGGAGAGCACCTCCTTCATGGCCAATTCCAGCAGCATCTACCAAAGAATTCTTTCTCTAGAGACCTACATCATCCCCTCATGTGCCCCTTGTCTTGTCATCTGTGGCACCCCACCTCTTTGTCAACCCTGCTTCCCTTCAAAAGCCAGGTGACAGGTTGGAGTATTATGAAGGAAATGACCCTTGGGTCACATCTGGAAAAATAAAGTCATGATCCCTCCCTCTTCAGTGCCTTCTTTTTGTATTTGGGTCTGGGAGGTGGGAATGATGTGGTACACAAGCAGCATATAGGCCATAGTTTTTTAAAAGTAAAGGCACAATAGCCAAGTTCATGAAAATAGAAGGTTTTGAATCAGACTGCTTAAGTTGAAATCCTGATTCTTCACCATAGTTCTTTGGACAAATCACTTGAGTCATCATCAACAATACCAGGATTTGCACCCAGGGCCTTCACCTGGAGTTATACTCCCTTCCTGATGCCTTTATTTTGTTGATTTTTTTTTTTTTTAGTACAGGTCCTACAGTCTCGTCTTTTTCATAATTATCCTGTTGTGATTATTTGACTTGTTTCTTTGGCTTTGTCTCCTCCAGACTCAAAGCTATACATCTACCCAAGACGAAAATGCCTGTCATCTATCAAGGGCCTTTAGATAAAACCACTAAAGAATATATCTGACTGCCAGTCAACAACTACGACCCATTTCAGCGTGAAGAAGCCAGAGTGGTCTTCGCGCATATTTCCCCTCACGGCAGTTCAGGTTACTTCTTCAGAGGGGGTAATATTACAGGCAGCTGAGTTAGGATCTCACTACACAGATCAGACTCATAGTGATCCTCCTGTTTTCAGCCCCTCGAGCGCTGGGATTACAGGTGCGCGCCACCATGCCCAGCCTCTGTTCTGTTGATTTTTGAGACAGGGTCTTGCTACATAGTACAAACTATACAAACTGGCCTTGAACACACTATATAGCTCAGTCCTTTACTTGTGTTGATCCACCTGCCTCAGCCTCTCGAGTGCACCACCACACCAGGCTTTAAAAACAAAACAAAACAAAACAAAAAACAGGGTCTCGCTAAATCACTAAGCCCAAGCTGGGCTCAAAACTGCGATCCTCCTTAGCCTTGCAGGGTGCTGGTATTAGGGGCTTGTGCCTCTCCACCCACCTCTGGTCACTTAGTCTCATAAACTTTAAAAGACTCCAAAAGATTTTTTTTCATTCAGGAATCTTTCTAGTTATCTATGGGAATGAACGTATCTTGGAATGGGTGTATTTATATGTGCAATTTCAGGTAATGCGGTGGAGAAGAAAAAGAAAAGCAAAATGTTGTCAACCTGATGCTAGAAGTTAGGATTGGGCACCAGAACGGTAGCGTTGCCTAGGTAACCAGACAGCTTTTGCCGTCTCTCACCCGTCCGGTCAGGCCACTTCCGGGATTGAAAAGCTGAATTCTGTCGCCACTTCCTGCATTGAGATCATGCGTGAACTCGGATTGGCCAACCTTCCTATTTAGGCGGATGTCCCACCCTCTGAGTTTTCCGCAGTGAAGGCCGGGTAGCAGTAGCGATGGCAGCGCTGACGGATGTTCAGAGGCTACAAGCCCGAGTGGAGGAGCTAGAACGCTGGGTGTACGGACCAGGCGGAGCCCGTGGCTCGCGGAAGGTGAGAGTCTGCGCAGGTGGTCCGATTCAGGGCCAGGGCAAGAGCCATCCCCTGGTCCCTCCCTCCGGATGGACGCAGTCGCTCCTGTCCCAAGGTGTACGATCCGGCCTTTGAAATAACAAAGATTGGGGCCACCTAGAACTGATTGGAGGCTCGAAGTTCATTCCCATGGGAGGGAGTGGTGCCGCGCAGTGGATGGTTAGGCCTCTTTGAGGTGGGTTTAGTGACCATGGCTAAGACTCCGTTCCAGGGAAACTTGACACACTTAAGAAGTTGACTAATGAGAGTTTCACTAAGATCTGAAATCCACAGTGAAATTGCCGATCTGGAGCCCAACACAGTTAATTGCTAAAAGAATTGTCCATGGGACCTCATAAGAGGGAGTCCAGAGTTGGATAAGGAAGACTCCAAGGGGTGAGGAGTGAAATCTGAGGACAGGATTAGGAGAATGAAGGATTGTGTACTGGGTGTTCAGATATTTGTGTGTGTGTGTGTGGCCAGCTCAGCCCACCAGGGGGCGGGGCTGGCTGGCATGTGGTGCTGGGGATTGAACCGCAGTCCTTGTGCTTTGCTAAGCTTGTTCTAAGTAGGTGCTTTAAACCACTGAGCCATCTCACCAGCCCACTAGTCCCCTTTCTAAATGGAAAGAATAGTGATTGAAGAATTTCTTATGTCGTGTCAGGCATATCCTGCAGCTAAGAAATCAGAAGAATGACTGTGTACATTTGTCCTGCTTTGCTTGGTGTTGATACAGGATCTCAATGTGTAGCCCAGGCTGGCCTTGAACTTGTGATCCTCACTCTGCCAGGTGCTATGTTTACAGGCATGTGCCACCATGCCCAGCTGTCTGTACACTTCTTGTGAAATTTGTTGTCACTAGCAGATTGTACTGCCATCTGAAAACTAACTACTCAAGATACTCTCTTCTTTTTGCATCTGTGACTCTTAATTCTGATTTCCTTCTACCTCTGACTGCTATTTTCAGTCTTATTTGCCTCTACTTTTATTTGTTCCTTTTTCTCCCCACTTGAATGTTAGCATTCTTTACCCTAAAACCTGGGTGAGCCTTACATGTTGGAATTCCTTACCTTCTACACCCTATGTAAGCTCATCCACTTCTATAGTTTGTTATTGTTTATATGTCATTACATCTCAAATGTGTATTTCTGGTCGAGATTTCTGTCTTGAAAAGCTGATTTATATGTCTTTTTGTCTACTAGTTTTTTCCTTTTTTTTTTTTTTTTTTAGACAGGGTCTTGCTATGTAGTTCAGGTTGGCCTTGCACTCACTATGTAGTCCCAACTGGCCTTAAATTCATGGTGATCCTCCTACTTCAACCTCATGAATGCTGGGATTACAGGCATGCACCACCACACCCGGCATTCAATCTGAATGCTTTTAACTCTGCATCTCCCCTAGCTTAATTTTCTTCTGTATTTCCTATATAAAGATCACACCATTATTAGGCCTAAAAGTTGTCCTACATTCTTCCATTTCCCACATTAGAGTTGAGGTGGAGATAGGACTGGAATTAGGCCAGCTAGTCTGACACTTGTATAGTCAACCAGTCATGAGGTAATGAAGGCCTGGGTAAGATAACTGCATTCCTCATGCTAAAACTAGGGTTTTACAAACTAGGGAATGTCTAATGTCTTAATGACTTTTCTTTCATTGCTGAGACAAAATACCCAACAACCAAAGTTATAGGAGGAAAGTTTTATTTTAGCTTACACTTTATAGGTTTCAGTCCATAATCAAGATCTCACTACATAATCCAGGCTGGCCTTGAAGTCACTACATAGCTCAGGCTGGCCTCAAACTTGTGACAATCTTCCTCCCTTACCCTCCCAAGTGCTAGGATCACAGGCATGTACCTCCACATCCTGCAGGATAAAGGTTCTTTACTTCCAAGCCTTGAACCAGATGGTTTATTTAGAATTAACCTCCATACCCTTTACAGGTGGCTGATGGTCTGGTCAAGGTGCAGGTGGCTTTGGGGAACATTGCCAGTAAGAGGGAGAGAGTGAAGATTCTGTATAAAAAGAGTAAGTGCTTCCATGGGTGCCTGCTTGCCCTGCTGCCCTGCTTCCCATCCTGTGATTCCTGGAACCTGACCTTGGTTCTTCAGTCAGTAGGTCACTGTAGTCCTATGAGGATAAAAAGAATGTGAAGACGTTTCCCTGCTGAAGTGGTGAATTGGGGTGTGCTTTTGTATCTCATGGATAAATCTCAAGCCCATTCCAGTATCCCAAGTTAAGTGATGAGGACCCTGCCTGAAATCTTCCCTTGGTGAAGGGAGGTGAAGAGAATATGAGACTTTTCCAGGCAAGGTTCAGAAACAAGAAAGAAATTAGCCACTGAGAGCCTCAGATTTGGTTCAGTCTCTTTAGTTCTGTCACAATTAACAACTGCTCATCAACTAGGAATTAGATGAAGCCCTGGCTTGTGTTGGTGGTATTAAGAAAGAAAGGGGTCTTCTCCCAGATGAGAATAGGTCAGTGGGAAGGGGAAGTGGGGTCTAGCTGCTGGCAGCAGTTGTTTCTAGGTCAGCCAACAGGTAATGACAATGGAGAAACAAGGAAATGGGACAGCTGGTGAATGCAGCTCATGTGGGTGACTATGCTTCATTCAAGGCTCTCCCTAAACTTTCTGTGTAAGACCCCACCTTGTTCTATTTTTCCATCTTGTTACTTTTTTAGTTGAAGACTTGATTAAATACCTGGACCCTGAGTACATCGACCGAATTGCCCTATCTGATGCCTCTAAGTTGCAGTTCATCTTAGCAGGTAACGAGCTGGGTATGCACATGCATCTGAGGATGTGAGTTGTGGGGGAGCTGAGCCACCCTCTCCCATCTTGTTGTAGATACAGCCCTGAGAGCTGCTGTCTGGAATTTTAGTCTGCTTGTGGTGATTCAGTAGATCCTGTAGCGGGCAGTAGGCCCAGTGTATCTGTGGGCCAGCTGCAGGTCATGGGTCTAGCCACTGTGGGAGCCACTCCAGTGTTCTGTCGTGACCCATCCCCTAGAAACTTCTTTTGCACTTTTCTCATTCTGATTACTGGACAGAGGGAAAGAGAGCAGATAACATCATTCAGGAGAAGGGAGAGTACTGGCATGCATTTCAGCAT